GTATGGATTATTGCTAGAGAGGAGAACATGAAATTTCATTCATCCATGGATTGAGATCTGCAGATCAAGGATATATAAATTCCCTTATATGAGATAGTCTCACGTTTTATGCAGTTTTTGATTTCGCGGGTTTTTTTTGCTCCCAATCGTCGCACGTGATTCGATATAAATTTATTTTTAAAAAATTAATTTCTATTCTGTTTTTTCTAATGCTCTCTTAAGTTTCCTAACAGGAGGTAAATGGAACAAGGGAGGTTGAGGATGGCTAGCATTTGGGCCAATCAAGGTGCTTGGGCAAGTGTTAGTGGCATAGCTGGTTATTGCGGGGCAAGGGCTGGCATTGATCGAGTCAATTGAGGGAGCTAGGGGATGATAGATCCAATCATCTTTATTAGTGTTTAAAATAGTTGATTGAGGTTTAGGAAGACTCAACATATCTAATTCTATGTTAATAAAATAGAATCATATAACAATAAATAGTAAAAGGTCTTTAATTATGCAATTGAAAGATTTAACATGCCAAATTCTTTTCTAATAAAATTAAATTATTTTTTACTTAGTGGTTTAATAAAAATATCTATGATGTTTTATATCAATAAAATTCAAGGATATGTCATGATTGTTTATATGATCTCTAATAAAATAATATTTCATGATAATATGCTTGGTTCTAGAATATTTAATAGAATTATTTGACATATAAATTTTACTAGTATTTTATAGGAATATTTTTAAAGCAAAATCCATAATATTCTAAAGTATTTTTTTATCCAAATTACTTGCACATAGAATGGACTCATCGTAACATATTGAGCTTCAGTTGTAATAGAGCGATAAAGTTTTGCTTGTTAGGTGACTAAGAAACCAGTGCATAACCTAGGAACTAACAAGTTCTAAAGATACTTTTTCTATCTATTTTACATTCTATAAAATCAATATCAGCATAAAATTTTTAATTTTAGGATACTATGGTTATTTTAAAATTTTAAATTAATTTAAGGTAACTATATTTTTTAACAGAGCATGCGTAAGCAAAATGATGAAGCTTTTTTATAAAAAATTATATATAAATTTAGAAGGAAGATATCGTATGGATTCTTTTACAAATTTGATTGGCTTTTGATGTGGGCAAATGCTTTCTTTTCTAAATATCAACTTTGTTTAGCAATAATCATATCAAGTGATTTATTTTTAATTTTAATGTCTTTAAATATATTTTGAAACTTTTTTTCCTTTTAAAAATATTCTATTATATCATTACTATCGATCAAGCCTAAGTGAAATATTTATAGGCCCCAAAAGATTTTAAGATTGAGCCAAAAATTTAAATCCCTAAAAATTTTGAGATATAAGCAATATTACCATCATAACTTTTGACGTCGTAAATATGAACTCCAACGGTACTATCATCATAAAATTTGAATTCTAGATGATATTACCATCGCCCTAGACAATATTGTTGCTACATAGCATAAATAGTACTTATCGACTAACTCAAATGATACTATCTTTTGGGCCTAATGGTACTATCACCTAAATCTATTTTAGGCTACTAGTTTGATGGGCCCAATTCAGCTCGACTTTAAGCCCAATATTTTTTTGATAAGTGGGCTTCGTTTCTACCTAATACAAACTTAAAATTGATTCAAAATAACCTCAATTAAGATTATGACAAATCAACTACACATTTGACATGTTTATAAAGCCTTCGGCACGTTATACACTCTTTTGACATATCGTCTGATCTTTCAGTACTTCGTCCGAACTTTAAATATATTATTTTTTTCTTTGATATATCACTCATTACATGTCGACTTTCCCACAATATCCAATATTTCAATGTAATATTTGATCCTTGCAACATAATATTCAAACCTTTAGTACGAAATTCGATCTTTGACATACTAATCCTTTGGCTTGATATCCAATTTTTGACATAATACTTTTGTTTACAACTTTCGACTCTCTTGCTTCGATGTTCGACCCTTCGATAGTTCGAGTCCATGATCGAAGTATTTTCTATATCACTTATCTTAAAAACATATTAGTCTCATAAACTTATAAATTAATTTTATCATTAAAATATGAGAATCAATAGGATATATAAGATACACGAGATACATAACAGACTATAAACTTGAACTATCTATATGCCAAATGTGAAACTTAGAAGACATAAAGAGAGCATTGGGGTCTATCAACTTATAAAGAGTGTTAAACACAAGAGATGTGATAAAGCACCTGGGGCATGCTGACTTAAATTGCTTACCAATGGAATGTCAAATATAAAAGCATGCAAAAGTATCAAAGCATACCAACTTGAACTACCCACATAGGATTTGTTGGGCATGCAGAAGGGCATAGTGGCTGCTAAATTGAATTATGGACATAGAAAATATATGATATAGGAGGCACATAAGTGTCGGAAATACACAAGATCAAACTACCCACTTAATACTCTAACTTGAACTACCACCTTAGTCAGCGAACAACACTTGTAGATGTAGGTTGAAAAGATTGAATTATATCTCTTTTGTGTACTTACTTGTTTTAACACTTATCTTGCTTTCTTATTACTTGTGTATATTTAGAACACCTTACCAATTAATTCATCCCCTCAATATCATTATGGATCCTAACATCAACTTAAAAAGTATCATACAATGAGTGTCAAATATAAGAAAGGTACAAAAGCATGATTTAAACTACTTGCATCAAAATACTAAAAATGCGTAAGGACATCGAGACATATCGACATGAAAAAAATAGGATTATTAGCATTATCCTTAGACGACTCCTAATATCTTTAATTCTAAATTTATTCATTCAAAATAAAATATTCTCCACTGACAAAGGCTTATGAAAGTATTGGTTAGTAAAGATTTTGATAATTTATGATAAGATCATTGGAATTTCACCTTTCTTACTTATCCTTTCAAAAAAAAACTATATTTTATCAAAAAAAATTCCTCATCTAAAACTTTTACTCAAGTATTTTGTTTTGCTTCTTTTTTCAAAATTAGCATACTCTTGAGCAAACTTACATCTTTCAATGTTTCTAGCAAAATATTAGATTTCTCTGGTTGGAGTTTTTTCTAGGAAACTAGATGAAATATGAATGCTACTCCCGGTGCGGTGCTTATGGAACCTTTTCATTTCAGGTTTGACCTAACACTAGCATTAAATTTTAATTGGACAATCATCCTATTAGGATTTTAGTGCTAATTAATAGCATCATCATGCAACTCATCATCATCATCTTCCAATGTTGCAATATTACCATTTTCATCAATATAATCTTGCCGTGATCTATGATGTCTCCATGGATGTGAGCACTATACAACTTATGTGTATCATCATACTATGCCTTTATCACAAACTCCCACTTGTTTGATGCATCAATAATATTAGATCGACATGCAAATAATAAATCTTCATATATTTCATCTCCTTACAAAATTTACTTAATATTTTTTTAAAATTTTCAATATGTTCATACTTTTTGTGGTAATAATACTGAATATTCTTTTTATAATAAATTTGATGTTGCTTGTTTGAAGTGAATAGAGAATATACCGATCCTTCTTTTAAACTTAATTCTTAACTTTGACTATATCATAGCCTTCTTCAATGTTTTTCTTATAAATCTTAGCATCGAAACTAAAATTTTATTTTCATGATACATGTCAAATAATTATCTTCTCTAAAAATCAATGGTGCTTGCTCACATTGGCAACAAAACATATTGTGCCTCTATATGAAAAGCGAGGAGATGAAATACTAAAAACTAATAAAATAATTAGAATAACTTAGAAAATAAAAATTTTATTAATGAAATATTGATGAAGTTGTCAAACCCACTTGAACAAAATAAGGTTAGAAGTTATTAAATGTGCTTGGGTTAATTACATATTACCCTATGTAATTAGATTATTCTAATAAAACCCCTATTTTTCTTAATTTTAATCTTATAAATTTATTTTTAAATTCTGTATAGGAAACTCAATATTTCACTTTCGTAAGTACAGAAATCCCAATATAATTTTTAAAAGTGTAGAGACCGAGATGCTAAAGATAATTAATTACAAAGAGTAATATGTAATTAACCCTATGCACTAAGACAAAATAAGGTTAGAAGCTTGACCAAAAACTAATAAAAAAAATAGAATAATTAAAAAAAAATAAAAACACTTACTAAGATCAGTGGCCTGACCTTAAACTGGTTTCCAAATTAAGACTAAGCCACATCTAAACTATGGGAACAAAACAATCTTAAACCACATATAGGCCAAATGTCGACCCATCCCGAGCCGGTGCTATCAAAGGCCTCTCTTGGCAAGAAAACAAAGGATATTTGTACCTAGGCATTTAGGCCAAGGAGTAATTTGTGTGGCGTTCTATGGAAATAAATGGAAAAGTGGGATAAAGAGGAAAACAGGGTTTGTATAGGGAATTCCCCTAATAAGGATTCCTTAATTTGCCTTTAATATAAATATAAATATATGTATATATACACGCTTATGTACGTACTCTACATAGGCATACACCGAAGTGGTTTATCTTCTCTTCTTTTCCCTCTCTAGAAGTAAGACTGGGCGAAGCAACGACGAGACTAAAGGCCTGATCTCCTTCCCTTTGAAAGCTAGGCTTGTTTTGAGGATTCTCTACCCCTCGTTCACTTCGAAAACAGGGTTTTCTCAGAGGTTTTTATCCACGTAGTACATTCGTCTTCTTGTTTTCCTTTGTTTTTCGCTTGCTTGAGTGCAATATTACTATTGCTTGGGTTTACTTTTTCATCGTCGATTATACGTATTCTTTTTTTCTTGATATTGTTTTTTCTTTTTTGATGACTGTGACTATTTCGAGGACAGTGTGTTGTAGCAATCGATGTTATTTGGCTCTGCTTTGTGGTGGTGATTATGTCTTTAGTTTATTTTGGTCGTACTTTCTTATCGGTTTAGCGTATGGAATCATAATCTCAAGTATCAAATTCTTACAGCATGGCTTCGAGCAGCGGTAGCAAAGTTGGGGTAGAAGGCTCGATCCCACAAAGTATGACATCTCGTGCTCCGACGTATCACCTGATGGCCAGGCCTGCGTTTGGTGCCGAAGGACGACGCATCCGTCTGTTTGCGAATCATTTCGATGTCAAACTCACCATGCCCGATGCAGTTTTCTATCAATACACTGTATGTTCGCTGCACGTTTGTCGATCTAGTGTTTTGCAGATCATGAACGTGTCTTAGCTTCTTTGTTCTCTTGATTTACCTGCGTGCAGATCACTGTAACACCTCACGACGTAAGGGATAAGAACGCTGCACAAAGTAAAGTGTATGGGCGAAAGATCGTGAACAGACTGTTCGAGATCTACAGTGAAGAGTTGAAGAACAAGCGATTTGTTTATGATGGTGAGAGAAGCTTGATCACTATCGGCCCTTTGCCACAGAATAACTTTGAGTTGACAGTCGTCTTAGAAGATTCATCGGCCAGGTAATTGATTTGGAATTGAAGAACTCTTGATACGTATATTATCGAGGTATTAATCCGAGCTATTAACATTCTGCAGAGCTACTGCCGGAGGTGCCGGCGACGGCAGCGCAGTTGGAGGAGACCAGAAGCGGTCTAAACGATCAGGTTTTATGAAGACATTTACAGTGGCGATAAAGTTTGTTGCAGTGTTTCCTATGAGGTCTATTGCACTCGCACTTAGAGGCAGCGAGAGAGAGGACGGTCAAAGTGCTCTGCGAGTACTCGACATCATTTTAAAGCAACGACAGGCGGAAAGGTTTTGTATTCCAATGCAGATACTGCTACATACGTCAGTCCGTGCTACAAATCTGAGGTGAGCTTTGGTTTGTGTTTGATTGCAGGGGTTACCTCGTTCTCAGGAACTGTTACTTTGATGGCAATCACACACACCTTGTTGACGTGGGTGGTGGTGTATGTGGAGGCCGAGGATTCCACTCCAGCTTTCGCACCACCAATGGCGGCCTCTCACTAAACATAGGTACGTATCGGTTTCTTAAATTTCTTTTTCTTTCGTTATAATTTGATATTAGAATAACTCATCTTGCTTCTAATCATATACGTAGATGTTTCCACCACGATAATCGTAAAATCTGGTCCTGTTTTGGAGTTTTTACTGGCCAACCAAAACATACAAGATCCTCGACGAATTGACTGGGAGAAGGTATAGAACATCTCAACATGTACATGCATGGATATTATGGTATCCTTATGTGGAAATTGACAGGCCAAAAGAAAGCTGAAGAACATGAAGATTAAGACCATACACAACAAAAGGGAGTATAAGATTACTGGGATGAGCAAACTGCCATGCGACATGCAGACGTACGTCACACACTGGTTTTTGTGTTTATTGGTTTGCTGTTTGGTATACAAAGCTTTGACACACTTGCGTTTAGGTTTTCCATGAAAGAAAGGAACAGCAAAGGCGAAACTCGAACGGTGGAGATGACGGTGTATAACTTTTTTCAGAACATCCGTAAGATAACGTTGACTCGGTCAGCCTCTCTGCCATGTCTTGATGTGGGCAAACCGCAGCGGCCAATTTACCTCCCGATCGAGGTTTGTGATGATCTCTATTCCCATTATTTCTCGAACTATACATGATGTTATTTCGTCATTGCAGCTTTGCCACCTTCTTTCCCTGCAAAGATATACCAAAGGATTGTCTTCTCAACAAGGAGCTTTGCTGGCCGAAAGGTGTAGACAAACGCCGCATGAAAGAATGAGACTAATAGCAGATGTGGGTGTTTCCTTTCCCTCTCCACAGATCATACATTGTTTCTACCCTCTCGTCTTGACTCTTGATCATTCCTTGTGTGGACAGTCATTAAACGACAATCGATATGATAAAGATCCATTGCTCAATGCTTGTGGTGTTTCCATCGATAAGCGAATGACAAAGTTGACTGGGCGCGTTCTTAATTGTCCAGTGGTAACTCATCTACCTCTTGTTTTGCTTCTTGTCATCATCCATTTACACAAACTTATTGGTGAAGAGCTTCACATTCAAACTTCTGAAACTACCACAGTTGAAGGCCGGTAACATGGAAGACTGTATTCCTCGTAATGGGCGATGGAACTTCGTCCACAAGGTAGCGAGCTGCCATTACTTCATGAACTATTGCCTTGTCTGAATCGAGTTTTCTCTACTTACAGACACTGTTGGAACCCTGCGAACTTCTTCATGATCAATGGGCGATTGTGAACTTCTCTGGTCGTTGTGATTTGCGGCATCTGTCACGGGAGCTCATTAAATGTGCAAGGAACAGAGGAAGTGTAGGTTCCATTATGCATCTTGCTTATTTGGAATTGGTTCAACTCATAATAAATATCTTACACTCTGTGTTTGGCTTTTGTAGAACATCGAGGAACCATCTGTGTTTCTTGAAGAGGACCGGGAATGGATGAGATCTGATCCTATAGTGAGAGTTGAAAAGATGTTTAAGAAGATAGAGGCAAAATTTACAGGACCTCCTCGATTTATTCTGTGTGTCTTGCCGGAGAAGAAAACCTGTGACATTTACGGTGAGTCCAATCTCCTTCTCCATGGTTTTCTCCTGTCGATCGCAACTAGTGTTACTTACATCCTTCTTCTCTTCCGAAGGACCTTGGAAGAGGAAAAGCCTCTATCAATTCGGCATCGTCACTCAATGTATCGTTCCTCCAAAGAACATTAGGGACCATTATTTGACCAATGTCCTCCTTAAAATCAATTCTAAGGTAATATATTAAGTTTGAACACCTCTCATCACTGCCCTCGGAGGTGAGTCTCGATTTGTCTCATCTTGTTTTTGTCCGATCAGCTTAGTGGCATCAATTCTCTACTTTCCGTCGAGTGTAAACGTAGCATCCCCCTTATCAGCCAGACTCCTACCATGATTCTGGCGATGGACGTTTCTCATGGTCCTCCGGGTTCAAGCTTTCCATCTGTTGCAGCGGTAAGAACATGCATCCTATAATCTGTTCTACTGATGAAAGCAATGAACTTTTTGCTTTGTTCACTGAGACATCCATCCACAGGTGGTCGGTTCGAGGCATTGGCCATTGATATCGAGATATAGAGCATCCGTAAGAATTCAATCTCCTAAATTGGAAATGATCGATTCTTTGTATAAGCCCGGAGAAAATGGAGATGAAGGAATGCTTAGGTAATTTGCATCCCGCATCACAGCATTATGACAAGGATTCTTTTGACTCTATAGATATATGAAGGATGAGGAAGACAAGCTAAATAACTCCTTTCTTTTTTTATGATGTCAGGGACCTGTTGCTCGACTTCTACAAAACAAATGGAGGAATGAAACCTGCTCAAATGATCATCTTCAGGTACAGTTCTCCTTTTTGCCTTAAATTCATTGTTATCTGTGCTATTTAATGATTTTTATTACAAATATTGTTTCAGGGATGGTGTCAGTGAATCCCAGTTCATGGAAGTTCTGACTGTGGAGCTAAACCAAATCATCAAGGCACGTAATTAATTGACCATGTAGCTCACGGATCAACTTCTTTCTAGTTCATCTGAGCTTTGTTGTTTCAGGTGTTTGAACATCTAGGTGATACTACTATGCCCAAGTTCACTGTCATTGTGGCACAAAAGCAGCATCATACGAGGTTTTTTCTTGCTGATAGCCCCGAAAATGTCCCACCGGGTATGGCGTTCACTCACATCGATCATTCATCATTTTGATCTGGCCTTGATTTGGTGCTTTAATTTGTCTCAGGGACCGTCGTCGACACCACGGTGGTTCATCCAAGGAACTACGATTTCTACATGTATGCTCACGGAGGAATTCTCGTGAGTTCCCTATCTCACAAGTTTATGTTGTATGTTGGCGATGTTGAACTTCTACTGCTGCTTATGATCCTTTTTTCGGTATTCGTATTAGGGAACTTCAAGGCCGATCCACTACAATGTGTTGCTTGATGAGATTGGGTTTAAGCCTGACGACCTACAGAAGCTTGTTCATGCGCTTTCCTACGTGTGAGTTCTCTTTCATCTCTCATTTCTTCATTCCAAACAGCAGAAATGTGATGTAGTACCGGTAATGACATGTTGTCTTGGGATTGATTCAGGTACCAGAGGAGCACCAGTGCAGTGTCGATGGGTAAGACGGCATTATCTTTGTTGGCCTTTCCTCCCTCCTTCTTCTTCTTCTTCTTCTTCTTCTCCTCCTGCTGACGATGTTGAGTGTGCTTTTCCTTCAGTGGCGCCTGTTTGCTACGCGCATTTGGCGGCTAGGCAGCTGTCGCAGTGCTTCGACCTGTCCGAGACTTCCGGAGATGAACTTCCGATAAGAGCAGGCGTTCCCCAGCTTCCAGAGCTGCATGAAAAAGTTAGAAGCTCCATGTTCTTCTGCTGATGCCGCCACCTTCTGCCCTCGATTCGTGTTGTCGTCGCTGTGTAATATATAAGGCATGAAAACTGACTCAAAAATAATTTTGTATGTGTACGTATTATTCACAATGATAAGTGTATTTTAGCCTCCTGAGAAAGAGGGATAATATACGAATTTTTAATTTATATTTAGCGATATTATTTCTGAACTATTAAAAAACCTATTTGAATCCTAATATAACATATTAAATAGTTTTTAGTATATTTGATTTTACTTGACCCATTTACGCTATTTTTTTAATAGTATTATAAATTTTTTTATTGAAGTGTTAAAAATACTATAAATTCTATAAAACAAATTGATGTAAATTAGAGTTTTTAACTAATTCCAATTTTTAGTAAAGAATAATTTCAATATATATATATATATATATATATATATATATATAATATAGCATTTTTTTGCAAGTGTTGTAATAATAAGTTTTCTGAATAAGATTTATTACTATAAATTGATAACTCTTACCAAAGTATAAATGTTGCCTCAATGGTCAAATAATGTGGGTTCGATTTTACCATCTAAAAAATTATTTTAATTTAGAAAGGAACTAAGTCTCTTATGTTAAACCATAGACACTTGTTTAACCTCTATAGTATTTTAGATAATTTATAAATATAATTTTGATAAATACTATTTTCAAATTCAAGTGATTGTTTAACATAAACTTCTTCCAAAATAAAACTATGCATCATCATATAAAGCCAAAAAATAAATTGTATCATGAAAATGATCGATATTAATAGTTTAAATATTATCACTTTTTAAGAAAATAAATATTTATTACTATTTAGTGTTTCTATGTTGAGATTTATATTTGACTTTATTTTGTATATCATAAAGTTGGTTAATACTAATTATGTTATGTTTTGGATCATCTATAAAAAAATATATCGACAACTCCTTGGCCATCCAGAAATCACCTCCATGGATGCCATCCCTAAGAACCGAGTTAGATCACTGCAAACCCAAATTTGTCATTGCAGTGGACATACCAATCCCTCGTTATAAACACTTCATCAACAACAGTCTGATGCACGAAGAAAGCCTTCAGAATCTTCTGCTCAGACTTAAAAAAAAGCCTTCAAAGACCATTGATTTAGGCACTGATTTATCCATGAAAGAAGTAGAAAACTGTACAACAATGATTCATTTTCAGTTCTGATTCAGATCATATTTCCTTGTCTAACATAATCCCAGTTAGAATTGACCACATTGCACTCACTATCAATTTGCATTTGTTATTATTATTAATTTCCTTTCAATTTTTTGCAGAGTTTAGAATTCAGGAGGAGAAGCTTTTTTGTTTTTGGGGTAGCAGACGGCTAACCAATTTTATTGCTCATTCTTCTCATGATCCAACAGGCAATCCATATCTCAGGCGCATAGCCATGCAAACCACATGCAATGTACTGGTTAACTCCTCACTCCTTTCATGCAGCTGTAGCTTCCTCTTCGACCTGCTTCACAGTGATCTCCTCCTCCTCCTCCTCCACTGCAGGAGCCTCCGGTGCCTCACCGCTGACGATAGTCTCCACTGGCACATCAGCGGGCAGCGGTTCAGGTGTCTCCTCCTGAGCCAACTCTTCTTCCTTCTCCTCAGCCTTTGGCTCAACCTCCACTGCCACTTCTTTGGTGTCTTCTTCTCCAGGACCCACCGGTGCATCACCGGTGATGTCTGTCTCGGCCGGGACATCGGTTTTCGGTGGCTCCGGCATCACATCTTGAGCCACCTCTTCTGCCGCTATCTCAGACGCTGCTTCTGTCTCCTCCTTTGGCTCATCAACCTCCACTACAGGAGTATCAACCTTCTCGGTCACAGCATCAGCTGCCGCCTCCACCTTTGTTGTTTCCACCTCAGCCACTTCTTCATTTGCTGCCGCTGCTTCTTTTTTTTCAGTTGGTTGGGTCTCTACGGTCTCCTCTGGCAACGCATTAGCCGCAGCTTGAACCTATGAGGCACCAGCATTACATCAAATTAAACTATTAGAACAGGCTTCTTGCATTGACTTGGCACTTCTTAGTCAATATGCTTCTTGATTAACATGAAAAAGCTTGATACTAATATGCACCTTCTCGCACAATATACACAAAAAAAAGAATAATAATGGTTCTACCTCAGCCGTGGCCATGGAGAAGAAAGAGGATTGATGAAGAGCTTTGGTCCAAAAATAGGCCAAAGAGACCAGAGAAAGTTGTGTGGAGGAACGATGAGGGAGGGTGTGCTTCATATAAAGCATCTCAGGGGCTTAATGGGAAGAGAAGAGGGGAGAGAAGAACAACGGTGGGATTGATCTTGTAGCCTCTCATACCATAATTACAGAGAGAGAGAGAGAGAGAGAGAGAGAGAGAGAGAGAGAGAGAGAGAGAGAGAGAGAGAGAGAGAGAGGTATACAGTTGGTCACGGTGAGAAGGATGATGTTTTGTATGATATGGGAAGGACGGTGGCGAAAGGCCAAAAGGGAGGTATACAGTTGAACAGTGCATTCACCACTCCATTGCCCATAACTAGCAAACTTCGGTGAGTAGTGAACGTATTGGGCTTGGCGTTCCTGCGAGTAAATGCTGCGCAATTCTGTGGCCATGCACGTGAAAAGGGGACCCTCCTCGGTTTAGCTGGCTACGTAGTTTCCAATCGAGTTTCCACTCGATCACTACAAAGTTTACATGTACATACATACATGCATACTCAAACAGGAAGTATACTGTATATATAGTATCTTGTTCAAAGATCACTGTCCTAAATATCTATTCTGCAGGAAAAAAACCATCATTTAAGTTCTCCTCCAATTTTATTTCTTTGAGGGAATAGTGGGCCACAATTATTGCTATTCTTCGTTTCTGAGACCTCTGTGGTCATTACTGATATGATGTCCGATATTATCTGTGACAAGTATTGCTACTGTTCTGCTTCTTCTTGGTTGCTGATCTTTCAGTATTCAGATTCCCTTCTCGTATCCTTCTCCTCCTCTCTCCGAGCCGACACCATTGATGGACTCGCACCAAACTCTCAACAGGAAGCTCTTCACAGGCCTCATCTGATAGTGTGTAGGTGGAGGTCGGGTCCCGCCGCCATTACCCTCCAGGACTCCGACGCTGATCTGACGTGGAGACACCTCAATTGGGCGGTGGATTCGGGCCCACCCAACAGCACAACCTGCCACATATAGGTCAGCACAATCGAATTGTGCCCTGCACCCATCGTTAGACGATGATTCTAATCTCTGGTGCAGGACAAAAGGTCGGGATGATCTCCAAGAGGCAAAAGGATTCTGATCCTTAGCTTGCCAACGCTGCCAGGAGAATTGCTTTCGTATAGTATTATCCTTGTCTTCAGAATCTCACGACGAATTCCATTCTCCCAACATCTTTAAGTACCTTCTTCCCATTTCTCACAGAGATCATCCGAAGCCATTTCAGCTCTTCTTTCAGAAACCATGCATGTCCATCCAACCTTAAGCGCTGCCCAATATTTATGCCATGCTCCTGAACATGCTAAAACCTTCTCTCCCTCTTTACTGAGGAAGAACATCTCCAACAGGATGCCTAAACGGTGTCTACCACCACACGCAAGTTCGACGCCGACCTCGTCGGACGCAGCAGGGGTAGAGGTTAGCAAACCCAAAAGATCGGTCGGCGCAAGACTGCGTTCGGCCGTGAGGAACAGAAGCATTAAGGAATTCATGGAAACCATCAACGAGGAATGGAGAGATTATTCTAGTTCCATTCCAATTCATTATTTGCCAATGGTAAAGCTTACTTAACCGAACAATCGCTAGCACAAATTCTCTTATACGTTTCTGTGGTTGCAGGAAGTCCTGCAAATGTTGTACTGTTTCATGGTGAGGAACGGCGGGATGTTGCTGATCAAACCGGCAGAAGATTATGGGGTTGATCTCGGCATCGCATGGACGATGAGTATGTTGGCCTATAATTTGTGACAACATCCTGCTTGCAGAGATAAGATTGCAGCATTACATATTTCCGAGAAATTTAACGTGCAAGCAAAACCTCGTCTTGCAGGTTTGACGAAGGATCAGTTACCCTTGGCCTTTGGCTGCAGCATCAATACAACTCAAGCATACAGGGGGACTGTACTGCTAAAGTGATATATCTTGATGGAAGATGAATTTAGTATAACTTGTTCTTCGTGATTTCTAAATTCGTGTTCTATTGCAGGAATGCAAAATATATTGTTGACTCACTGATCCGAATGCAGTTGACACAGGTAAATGACACACTGTTTCTGCATCATCAAGCCAAACTAATATTCATTAGTATCATGAGATGGCTGACATATTCTTTCTTCTTTCCCATTTTGACAGAAGTTGGAGAAGATTCTTCTGCCCATGATAGATAAGCTTGCACTCAGCTGCTCCCTTGAAGAGAAGGAAAGGATGGCCCTAATATTTCCCCTGCTTAGTGTACTGGTCATGGTTGTATCTCTTATCTCCTTAAAGAACACAGTAGTCTAACATCCCATGTTTCTGCAGATACATAAAAAAGATCAAGAAATAAATCAAGTATTCCACTTCTCCATGAATTAGCTGATGGAAAGTCGGGCATGGGAGAAGAATGGAACCATATAGAACTCATACAAGCAGATTCAACGCATGAGCAACATTAAGAACATTTTCGAGGATCTTCTTGTGGCAGAATGTTTCTGATCTGATGAAAGATGTCAATGTAAGAGAAATAAGCGACGTATATGAATGTTGTCCTCGATCATCGTGGCATCACCAACAAGCACAGCAATGGGTATTCTACACTGAATATTACCTAGTGAAATTGAAAGAAGAAGCGTCCAAACGAGAACACCAAAGTTCTTTAAATGCTTAGCGTACATAGAACAAGCGACAACAAGATCAATCAAACGATAAGAATAAAAGATTTCATCTCATCTCTCCATCTGGGCAAACAGGAGTAGTTTCTCGAGTCAGATTCTTGCAGTCGTGCTGCACAAGAGTCATCGATCAATCACGTTGAGTGCGCTACACATGCATCTCATGATGATTCTGAAGTGGAATCCTTCGCAAGTGCAGCTAAGATGTTCTTATCTTCGGTTGGCACCAGCAAAACCATGTCAAATGGCTGCACTTGAAAGCCACGTCTCGTTGTGGACATGCAAATCATGAGAAAGCCATTATAAATATGAGAAAAGACGATGCAGCAGTGGGCGTCCATCATGCTTTGAGATTACGTAGAGACACTCTTGACGTCTTTAAGATTCACATTAGGATCTGGATCCAAACCGACCCATGAGTTATATTGGATCCGGTGCCGGCTTAAGATCTAGATCCGAAATGGACAAAATGTCTCTCTCTCTCTCTCAATCATGCGTATAATTCACATCATATAATTATGAACATAAAATTCAATTGATTTCTTATTTTGATGAAGCAATGAAGACGAGAATAAACACAAACTATAACTCCAAAATTTATCAACCATTTTTTAGATAAAAATACCTCTGCGTTATGTGATTCACAGAGTTACTTTTGATGATAATACTTTTAATTTAAATCCCATCATAGCAGAACAATTGATTTCTTATTATTCTAATTAATGCCCATAAGAACTACAAGTAGTTTATATATATCCACTCTTTAGGATATAATCAGCATCTGTCTTAAAGAGCCAAATGGCCTGGAAACACCACACCAAACAGATCATGAAGCCTTCAATTTCTCATGGAATGACAAGCTTCTCTTTCATGATGGATTTGATGTCAGGACTTTGGGTAGGTTGCAAGGTGGAAATAGTTGTAAGAGCTCTGCCATGACTTGTCATTCTTCTTGGTGCATCAACTCTTTCCTTTGGGTCTACATGTTACCTTCACTAGGGCCATTCTGGTGATGAGCACCAACTCACATTCACCAGCTGCCACCCAACATCCAGATCATTCAACCTTAAATTGGACTGACCTCACACCCCTACCTCCCTGGAGTTTGTGCATCTCCTGCATCCTGGTCACACAGCAGTTCCTCTGGTTTGGTCAGTTCTTCAAACCCTCATCCTTGCTGCATTTAGTTCTATCATGGTGGTTTAAGATACACCTGCTGTTAGTTTTGGTAGCTTTGTTCTCCAAGAGGTAAAAGTGATTCTTTGTGCTTTGTGCTGGCTTGGATCTTCTGTGGGGATTTCTTTTGGTTTCATGGGATTTGTAACACCTTCATGCTTCTTGATTCTTTTTCTTGTTATTTTTGGATGGACTGCTTCCACATCTTTGTGAGTACTACAAAGTGTTCATATGCTTCTGCTACCATTATTTCTTTGTTAAATAACATATGGATCTTTGTATCCAGTTTGGAATACAATGGGCAGAATAAAAGATAGGTATGTTGCTTTCATGTACTCGGTATCTGAGAACTGGGGACATATGTTGGTGCTGTCTCGATCAATCTGATAGCTTCATTCTGTTTGGTGCTGTCTCAATAACTTTTATTTTTACAAGATAATTACTCTAAGATTTAGTACAGAAGAAGAAATGAAAAGGACTTGCATCCACATGTTTGCTTATTCTGAAGATAGTTCTTGCAGGAACGGGAGTGACACCACAAGAGGAGGAGAAAGTTTAGAGAAATGGGGCTTGCGGCAATCTTTTGTGTGATTTCTCTGCTAGCTTTATCGATCTCTTCTCCTACAACTGCACAGACTCCACCAGCCCCATTCCTACCTCCATCTCCAGCACCTGCTCCTGCGCCTGCCCCACATTTCGTGAACCTCACGGAGCTGCTCTCTGTCGCTGGCCCTTTTCATACCTTCCTCAATTATCTACTACAAACTCAAGTCATCGAAACATTTCAGAACCAAGCTAACAACACCAAACAAGGCATCACTATCTTCGTTCCCAAGGAGTCAGCTTTTGCATCGCTTAAAAAGTCTGACCTTGGCAATCTTACCCAAGACCAACTCAGGATCCTCTTCCTCTACCATGCCTTCCCCAAGTACTATTCTCTATCCGATTTCAAGAACCTGAGCAATTTGAATTCTGTCAGCACATTTGCTGGTGGGCAGTATGCTCTGAACATCACTTATACGTTTGGGCTCATCAGCATCGGTTCGGATTGGGCAAACCCGAAGATTACTAGCAGTGTCTACTCGACAGCCCCAGTGGCTGTTTATGAGATCGATGGGGTTCTGCTTCCATTAGCAATCTTCAGCTCTGATCCACCACTAGCACCAGCTCCGGCGCCAGCTCCGGAGGCCACGAAAACATCGGATATAACTCCAACCCAAAGTGCAATCGGTGCTGCACCCAAAAGCTCCGAGTCATCAACCAGTGGTGGCTCTTCATACATCGCCAGTGTTCCTCTCTTGAACTGCTTTGTTTTTGCTCTTTCCGGCAGTTTGATGCTTACTATGTGAGGAGTTGTGCTACCTGGAAGATACTATAATGCATATGCACGTTCACTGCCTTGGCATTGTTTTGGTTCGATTCTGGTCATTCTTGAAGACAGAACAGATACCTTGTTGGTAAAGGAAATGCGACATGTATCAAGCTACAAATTTCTATGTATTCATTCTTGCGTTCGAGATGTTCTACTTTGTTTTACGAGTCTCATTCATGAACCTACAAAATCCTCTAAGATGTGCTTTACATTCATGTTTGATATCCTTGAAAAACTATGTATTATTTCAAGTTGGTCAATTATAGTCTATATTAAAAGAGGTATAATTATGAAATATTATTGATAAGTTATTATTTGTCATCATCATGATGTGATATTTTATATAACGACACGAGACCAAACGCACTAATGGTCGACCCCAGTGATCACGCTCGATAAATCGATGGCATACAAGTCAAACATATTAATCGATGACATGCGATCAAAATAGTCGAATGTGTAAAATGACGATGCATAGCCGAAATGGCCGAACACTCACATTTCGACCATGCACAACCAACTACTTGTAAAAAATATTTTTGGTATCGGTAGTGTAACCTATATCACTTCTCGACTTGGTCCCTTTATGCTCGAGTGAGTTGAGAAGTGAGGGGGCTATTGATATAGAATCGATGACTTGACCAACACTTCAGTACTAATTTTATTTAGCTAAAATATTTTTGCTGCTTGATCGTCTAGCAAAAACTCAAAATCTTAACTTTCTCTCTTCCTCTCTTTATTCTTTTTCCATCGATCGCACGCCTCTCACCCGCGCATGTCTCCATTTTCAATTTTCTTTTTTTTTTTCTTATTTTTAATAAATTAGATTTGGGCTTAACGTCCAAGTCTACCTATGGGCTCTAGACCCAACATAATGAACATCCTTTGAAAGAATATGAATTCACTTTGGAGAATTCTAGTTTTGTGAATGAAATCCCACACTTAGATGACATGTCTTACTAATTGTAAATTTTCACATGAAGAAAATTTTTAACATGTTTGCTATATCAATTTTTTTTCTTGTACCTTATTCGATCATCCGTCTCATAATCTCGATGTTTTGATTCATACTAATTATATATTTATTTTTGATAAAGTAAGTAATTATATATTTATGTTTGATAAAGTAAGTAATTATACGAATTATATATTTATGTTTCGATCCATTTATAGAAAAAAAAAACTTTTACTTTCATTTATTAGGTCTCAGTGCCTATGATCGAGTAGTGAGAGAAAACAAAATGTTCCTTACAGAGAAAAAGTATTCTTCTCAAAACCTGCAATAAGTTTCAAACATCCACACATAAGCACACACGTATATATACATAATTTGAAGATACGGCAGTGGGAGACATGTCCCGTTTGGTTCACATGAAAACCATCCATTAGACACACAGTAATCCTTAAACAGTAGAAGGGATAGGAATACGAGGAGTTGCAGACAGCTTCAGCTCAGTTTTCCTTGTTACAGAAACTCCTAAGGTCTCACTCATGTCCAACTCCTCTGATTTCCTGCCATCGGGCAGCTTCCAGTCGAAGTAGAGGAGGAGCTGCGCCAAGGATAGGTGTATGGTGGCGAGCCCAAAACCCAGTCCAGGGCATATCCTTCTTCCAGCACCGAACGGCAAGTACTCGAAGTTACCTCCTTTGAAATCAATGGATTTGCCTTCAAACCTCTCCGGCCTGAAGCTCTCGGCCTCTTCCCAGTACTGTGGATCTCTGTTGATCGCCCATGCATTGACCAAGACTGGAGTGCCGGCTTCTATCTCGTAGCCGAGCACCTCACACGTCTTCCTACACATTCTTGGTATCAACCTGACAGGTGGGTGAAGCCTTAGTGTCTCCTTAACGATCGACTTGAGATAGTTCAGCTCCACGACGTCTGTCTCTTGTATCCTGTTCTTTCCCTTCAGCTCTTCCATCACCTCCTTCTGTGCTTTCTCCATTATCTTGGGGTTCCTCATCAGCTCCGACATGGCCCATTCGATCACTACAGATGAGTTCTCGGTCCCTCCGACTAACATGTCCTGTAGATAGAATCATGGAATCGAAAGAGTTAGATAACGGAACACTGGTTTCATGTACATTGTGAACGCTAACGACTACTACAGGAAGTAGCACTCACGAGGATCACAGCCTTTATTCCGTCCATGGTCATCGGAACTTGTAGTTCGGATTCGTCTTTAAGTCTTAGCAGCGCATCGACTATGTCCTCCTCCACTTCGGCTACTTGCCGACCTTTGTTCATATTGGCCTTAACCTCATGCTCCTTAATTATGTCATCAAAGATCTTATCAAGCCTCCTGCGTATCCTCTGCAACTTGTTCTTGGCACCTGACAGGACGTGGATGAGCTTCAGCGACGGAAACATGTCGACGGCATAGAACTCTCCAAGC